TTATTATTTATTTATTTGTGTGTGTGTGGCCAGCTCAGCCCACCAGGGGGCGGGGCTGGCTGGCATGTGGTGCTGGGGGATTGAACCGCGGTCCCTTTGCTTTGCTAAGTTTGTTCCAAGTAGGTGCTTTAGACCACTGAGCCATCTCACCAGCCCCCCCTTTTCTCTCTTTAAAATAACTTTTTCTTGTATTTTAGGGAAGGGTCTACAGGGTGATCAGGGTCTTACTATTAGATCAGACTCATAGTAATCTGCTTGTTTACAGTCTCCCAAGTGCTGGGATTACAGGCGCGTGCCATCATGCCCAGTCTTAATCACCATCTCAGAGTGCCCACCATCTCAGAGTGCCCTGGGAGTGGGGCCAACATAGCAGGCCTGGGCATTGAACCCAACCCCTACACCTGCTTGCAGACACTTTAATCCCCTGAGCTATTTGCCTGGCCCTCAAAATAAATTTTTAAAAATAAATTTTCTTTTGAGATAAGGACTCACTCTGTTGCACAAGCTGGCCTCAAATTCTGTATCTATTTCAGGCCCCTAACTAGCTGGGATTACAGGTGTGCACCATGACACCTGGCCCCCATTTTTATCTTCTTAATCTCAGCTTCTGTGCTAGTCTTCTAGGTGATGCATCAGCTTTCTGCTGCTTTGTTCTTGTTCCATGTGTGAGTGATCGATTGACATCCTGGCACAGGACTTTTAATCCCTCCCATTGACCCTGGCAGATGATATTTTGGTACATAATTTTGTCATCTTACAACAATAAATTCATGCTATCCTCTGCCTCACCTCTGAATTCACAACCCCTGAAAGTAGAGGAAAGAAAGAACTCACGAGTCTCTGGTATCCTCAGTTGAGCTCTGAGTCCTTTACTATGATCTCCCTAGAGTCTGCTGCATGAACCCTTCACTCGCACCTTGTTTCTTTCCATAAAACGTGATCTTCACTTCACTATCTTCTGCTGAAAAGTTTTGTGATTCTTTTATTGCCTACCGAGAGAAAAATGTGTTACATGTGTTTCTGCAGGAAAACCCAAGGTATTGTTGGATTTTTTCTATTTCATTTCGAAGAAGCCTTCCTGCTGTTTCATATTTTAATCACGTTCTGGCTGATTTTTTACAGGGTTTTAGGAAGAACATGGCTTACCTACATCCAAGTTTCATTTACTCATTCTTTCCCTCATCACAACAGCTTGTCTTAGTGCAAGTCCAGTGACACCTAGGTCTGGCACTGTTCTTGGTACACAGCAGCTTTTTGATAAATGACAACCACTGTGTCAGTAGGAAGATGCTGCCTTCCAGGATACTGAGGAGCTTGGGATCTCCCTGAGAATGGCTGTAGTGCTTTCGGGAGAGCTCTGGTGCTTACCTTCAGCACTGCTTGTGGCTCCAGTTCCGATCCCTCAGCTCGCTAGCACAGATCCCTTATCCCACTGGCATGGACGTTGTAGCTTCCATCACCGATCTTTGGGCCTTGCCAGAGCAGATCCATAAAGAAGACCTGCATGAGACTTTACTGGAGGCTCTAGGCCTCCAATTGGACTTGTGGGAGGCACTGTCATGAGTTCTAGTTTAGGATCGGGGCCCTCAGCTGAATTCTTTGATCTTTAGTGTGTGGACAGATTTCCTGAACTTCTTGGATACGATTCTTGGGTGATTCCTTATAAATCAATACTATAAAATGTGACCTGTATTGTTTTCCTTGCAGAAACTCCAAACCATGACAAATATCAATCATTGAAATCAGAGATGTAATTAAAAAGCTACCAAAAAACAAAAGCCAATGTGCTGATGGATTCACTGTCAAATTTTATAAGAAATTTAGAGCATATCTAACACCACTACTTCAACTCTTTGAAACTACCTCACCCAACGAATTTTAAACTTTCTTGTTGAGCCTCTATAGCCTTGACTGTTACCTTCCTCAACTTCTGGAGGACCCTCGGTGCAGGTGTGAACCACCTGGATGCCCCTGGGCCTGAAGAAGCCTCAGAAGATTCTCTAACCTAGGCCCACATTTTTTTAAAAAATTTTTTTCCATAATTTTATTGATAAACAAATAGCAATGAGACAGTTTCAAATCAAATTGGTATAGGCCCACATTTTTGACAATGGGTTTATTCCTCTGTAAGATTCTAAATGTACTGAGTATCAAGACACTGAGAGACCAAGACCGAGACCGAGAGAGAGAGACAGAGACAGAGATAGAGAGACAGAGAGAAAAGACCCTGAGTTCAATCTCATTAAAAAAAAAAAAAAAAAAGTTTAAATGGTATCCCCTGACTATGTCATGCCCGCTGATTTATAGCAATCAAGTCTCAAAGAAAAGATAGCAAGCAGCAGGTCCAATTCACATAGCTTTTGTAAAAACGTGTCTATTTGGTTTTTAATACAAAATGACTCAAACAGGATGAAAACATCATACAAGCCAGGTACTAAATTAAAAATAAAACAAACCAACAAACTTCAGTTGTTATTTCCTGTCTTCAGCTCGGATTAGAAAACAGAAAACTGCGGAAAAATAAATGTCTTGTCCATTTGATGAAATCTTATCAAAATCAAAATAAAGGAGAGGCAGGTCCCTGAAGTCTGGCAGGTGGTACTGGAAGCCACTGGGAGCCTCATCATCCTGGGATGGGATAAGCAGTTGCTGGAATACGGCCAGCAGCTCTTGTTTCTTGCTAGTCATGGCCATCGGAAGGGAGGAGAGCCTGGGCACCATTTGATGCCAATTATGCAGCCCAAGGTCTCCAGGTCATGCAGCCTCAGAGTCTTCCATCCGGCATTTTCACTGAATCTCCCCCATATACAATCTCTTGTCACTGGATGCTGAGAGAACTGAGGTAAAAAGAAGAGAGAGGATGACTGGGAATAATGAAGGTTCAAGGAGACTCGGTGCTCAAGGGCTCTTGTGTCAAGAGCCAATTTTGGTATATAAGAGCAATTGGATTTAGCTTGAATTCTCCTCCTAAACACCATCCCCAGGAAATTATAGCCTAGCTTTTCAATCAAAGTCCTCTTAAAACCATAAGGATGATTGTGCTATGGGAAATACATTATCACGTTCTAAATCCTGATGTCCCTTGTCAGTCAAACCCCAAAAGATCTTTGTAGTTACTCTAAGAGAGAGGAAATTGATATCTGTGGCAATCATTCGGAATATGCTTCTGCTTGTTATACTTAGCCCTGGAGAAAGTTACATTTTCTCCTTAAATTTAAAGTGTATTATTTGGCTCAGCAGGCTAATGAAATTTAAGTTACAATTTATACTTAAGTATTAAACACTATTCTAACTTGAAGTCCCAGCTACTTGGGAGGCTGATGTAAATTACTTGAGCAATTGACTTTAAGGCCAAATTCTGTCATACAAAGACATCACTGAAGCATGGACTTTAAGCAAGAAAACACAAAAAGAACCAGAAGTCAGCTGGCTGTAGCAGCACACACTTGTAATCCCACCACTCAGGAGGACAGCCATATGTTCAAAGCTAGTATGGGCTACAAACTGAGTTCAAGAACAGCCTGACCTACAAAACAAGACCTTGCCTTAAAAATCCAAACAGCCCTTTGGAGGCTGTGGATTGCCACATGTCGAGGCCAGCCTGGACTATATAGTGAGACCCTGCTTCAAAAAACAGAACAGGAAAACACAAACTGGATTAAAAAGTCTTCTTTTTGAATTATAGAAGGAAAGAGGACAGTACTCTTAACCTGATTACTTAGGACAGCAACGAAATGATACCTATAAGGCTATTTATATGAAAATTCACATAAAACAGAAGCCTGCTTTTGTCACTGTATTCTCAGATCCCTCTTGATGCAGTTCCCCTTTCCCAGTAGTCAGGAAAGACTTACTGATGGGCTCGTCGGGGTGGAAAGCCACTTCGTTGATGGAGCCAGCGTGCCCAGGCAGCTTATACAATATTCTCCTGCTTGTGGTGTCCCACACATACACAAACCTGCAAAGTATCGTAAACAGCAGGGGTAACACCTCCTGAAGTGCGGCTGGGATATAGGTATAAATCTTTAGGAGAAATAAATCCTATATTTATTGAACTGTGTTCTAACTCTTAGAAAGTAAGAAGAGTTTGAGGAGAGACATGGACCCCGCTCTTGAGAAAATGAACAGAGAAATAGAAATAGCTAAAAATTTAGTGCTGCTGGTATTTCCAAATACAAACTTCTGGAATGGGAAATATCAGAGAAGAAATGAAAACAGTTTCTTTACCAAGGTCCCATACAAAAATGTTCCTTAGACAGTCTAGTAAGGATATAGTTAACCTCATAACTACTTGGGAATGTCTTAAAAGTAGCACATCTCATTGCAGTTTGGTAGTCTATGTTCCAATCCAGATGAACTTACTAGTATATTCAATTTTTAGTAGTATACTCAAGCAGAGAAGGGACAGGAAGTTTCTGCTTTACTTGAGCCAAATATTTTACTGCATTCAGTGGTAGAAGATACTCAATTTTGACTTCTTCCTGGCTGCATCCCTCAAGGATGAAGTTCTTTTTTTTAATTTTTTAATTTTTTATTTTTTTTATGGTGGAACCAGGGATTGAACTCTGATCCTTGCATTTGCCAGTCAAGTGCTTATCCTAACTGAGCCATCTCCCCGGCCCCAAGATACTCAATTTTGGAGTGGGAAGGGGCCAACAGAAATCAGCTATTTTAAACTATTTTACAGGTAGGAAAGTTAGCGTACAGTGAATTTTCAAGGTGACATAGTTCATTAATGGCAGAACTAAAATTAGAACTCTTAGCCAGGCAGGTATAGTGACACCATCCTATAATCCCAGCTACTTAGAAGGCTGAGGCAGGAGGATCACAGTTTAAGGTCAGCCTGGGTAACTTAGCGAGACTGTCTCAGAATAAAAGAAATATAAAGGGGTAGGATATAGCTCAGTAGCAGAGTGTAAGTCTACCCTGTACAAGGTCCTGAGCACAATCTCTAGTACCTCAAAAAAGCTAACCAAGTCCTGATCAAACACCACAATTTTGGTCTAAAATGCAAATATGAAGTTTCTTAATTATACTGTCAGAGAAAGGCTCACAGAATAGTGGCACAAATGGTGTGCCACTACTCACAGAAAAATAAATAGTTCTAATCAGAATTAAATTAAAAACAAGAACCTCATCAGTCTAGAAGTCTAGATCCCTGGTTCTGATGATCATGCCTTCCCCAGTGTCTTTTTGGCTGTGCATAAATAAAAATCAGTCATCACTAATGGAGCTAAGACCAGTGTGGCATCATAGTGAAACAGTTTAAGCACTCAAATCAGAAAGACCCAGGTTCTAGCTGAGGATCACAAGTTCAAGGCCACCCTGGGTCACACAACAAACAAGTTTAAGACTGGTCTGAACTATTCAAAAAAACAAACCAAACCAAACCAAAAACAAAAAGAAAAAAGCTGGATGTGGTGGTGCTGTGGTGGTATATGCCTACCATCCTAGTATTCTGGGAAGCTATGACTGGCGGATGGTAAATTAGAGCCCATCTTGGGCAATTTATTGAGACCCTGTTTCAAATTTAAAAAGGGGGGGGAGGGCTAGGAGGGATATAGCTCAGTGAAGAGGCCCTAGGTTTAACCAACCAACCAACCAACCAACCAAAAAAAGAAATCAAACAAGGATAGATGGGACAGCAGATTCCAGAACTCCAATGGTTCACTTCATAGCCTCATTTTTTGAGCTGCCAAAAGGATGCTAAATTTAGAGGGCTTCCTTGTCCTTTCCTCAGTTTGGTATGGCAACATTCAGTAGCAATCAGATTCCTTATGTAACAGCTCGTGGCTGACTTGGGGCTAACTGGCAAGGTGGCCTGAGAAATCTGACCACACACAGAAGGTGGAGGTGGGCTCTCTTTAGCCCTGAGCCATACGGCATAGAAGGTGAAAGGAATAGTGGGGAGGAAAGGAGACATTGCCCGTCAGAATGGGTCAATGTCAGAAATTGCTCTGGTCAAGAAGAGACTTACTATGCAAATGTAGCTTGAAAGAAACACCACCTCTGCCGAAAATTACATAAAAATACTGAGAATGGTCTTTACTGTGTCAGAATGCAGGCCACCTTACTATTTTTTTCTTTAGCTACACCCCCAGCCATGTCTGCTTCTTAAGGTCTTTAGTTTGACAATGGAAAATCCATTAGATCCTCTTAAACCATGGTGTCTCAAATCATCAATGTGACAATGTTGTGACACAGAATCGCCTCCTTCCAGAAAAATACCTGAACACTGGCCCATTTTTCCTGGCAGTAAAATTGTCAGGACAGAAAAAAAAAATTGACAATGGCATTCTTCAAGTATGTTCAGGATTAGTTACAAAGAGTGTGGGATAGATCATGTGAAACTTCTTCAGGGCAGTCAGAGAGCTCCAAACAGGTAAGCTGTGCAGTGTGCTAACAGCTCCGTAGAGCTGCGAAGGGCTCCTTAGTTACAGGCAGTGTTTGCTGCAGTAAGGTAGGAGGAGCCTATCTAAAAGGGAAGAAGATGAAGTTAAGCTAACAAGGGTCAAACAACTCCCAATGAAAGTTAAAACCAGAATTTGCTGTAAGAAAGTCTCCTTTACCATCCAATACTGTTAGCATATCAGCCTTGACACCTGGTTATTCCTATTCAACCCATGATTGTCTCCCAAGTATAAGTCACCAAAAACATAGCAAATACAACAGCACCTGATGGAAGAATTTCCTCCCTTTTGTTTCATTCACCAAATAATACTTTTTTAAAAAAAATTTTATTTATTTTTACATTTATTTAGTGTGTGTGTGTGTGTGTGTGTGTGTGGCCAGTTCAGCCTACCTGCGGGTGGGGCTGGCTGGCATGTGGTGCTGGGGGATCGAACCGTGGTCCCTGTGCTTTGCCAAGCTTGTTCCAAGTAGGTGCTTTAGACCACTGAGCCATCTCTCCAGCCCCTCACCAAATAATACTTTGAGTCACTTTAAATTCACATGTAAGAAAGCATCAGTTTATTAATCTGACACAGATGGGAAATACCTAATTCAGATGTTATATTCTTTGCCTAACTGTGACACTTGCCACTGAGCCCAGATCCCCCTCTGAGAGCAGAGTTGATATATAGGGTAGAATTATTACTATCATTGAGCTAGGAATCCATTCAGGTAATATTCTCCAAATGCTTAGAATACCTCAAGCACTGACAAAGACTGTCCTAGGTTCAGAGATGGCCAGGACTCATTCCCTGACTTTTGCAGGAAATACTTTAGTGGGGTGTCCCACTGTGTTTGATAGTAAAATGCAGTAAATGTTAAGTGAATGACATGTGACTGTAGCAAAGAAATAGTTATTTCTTTCCACAAGAGAGTGACAGCGAGAGTGAGACAGTTAAAAGAGGGAGAGAGGGAGGGAGGGAGGGAGAGAGGGAGAGAGAAGGGGGAACCTGAGAGAGAACCTGAAGGTGATAATGCAGAAAGGAGATTAGAATAAGGCAAGTTGCACAAGAGTGAAGTAATATGGGATGGTAATGGAGGCAAGTAATACATATCTATGAACTAAAGCATGACAGATGACTCTAATTTTATTTTTTGTACCAGGAATTGAACTCAGGATCTTGTGCTTATTAGGCAGGTACCATGCTGCTGAAGTATATCCCTGACCCTCTACTTTTATTTTGATGAAAAAGGGAATAAAACAGAATTAAATACATTGATCCTTAGGTCTAAAATGTAGCTAAGGTAGACAAAAACGATGTTTGTCCAACAGGGCTTTTAAACGTTTCAGGCTTTGCCACTTCTGAGTGTAGCTGTAGCTCTGATCTAGTCCATACCCACACTTCATGTATTAAACACGAGAGGACCTGCACACCCACACTCTCTACCTCACACCCTTACCTGTCTGCTGAGCCAGCTGCTATTTTGCTCCCATCAGGTGACCAGGAACATCTCAGGAGATTCTATAATGATGAACAAAGCAGGAATCCACTGAATAGCAATGCACCAAACCTCTCTTTGCTAGACTACAGAATTACTGAGAGACTTTAAATTTCCTATGTTAAAAAAGTTTTAAATAGATTTCCTAAGTAGACTGAGTTATTCTCCCCAGAAACAATGATCACATGTGTGGCCTAAAACAAAATGCTTAGAATCACACATGGAACTGTGGAAAATACTTAAAACTAGTAAATTACTTAACTAGATTAGATCTGGCAATAAAAGTTTGTTCTGCCTATAAATGGAGGCTCCTTTTGCTCCATTTATCTTTTTTTAAAAAATGTATTTGGTACAGGGTTTCATTGATCCATTTATCTTGATGCTCCTTAAAGTTTTTTTCTATTAGTTTTCTCTGTTTTCATTGTCTTTTTTTTTTTTTTTTTT